CAGAACCTCTTCTTGAGGTACACATACTTGGCGCCATCGGCGGGATCGGTGCGGACGGTGGCCACGGCGTTGACCAGCTCCTTAAAATGGGCGCGGGCCCGGGCGCGCTGCTCGGGCTCGCCGCCCAGGGCGCCCCTGAAGTGGTCCACCAGGTCGGCCTGCCGGGCTCGTCCCCCAYGTTCCGAGAGGAACGACAACACGGCCTCGGGGCCCAGCTCGGCTGGCCCCTCCATCTGCTGAGGCGCTGGTTCTCCGTTGGCTCAGCCCGGCCCCATCACCGCGCGGTCGGAGGTCCTGGAACCCGGCTAGCTCCCTGGCTCCCGGCTGAGGCGTCGGCAGGCACTCAGACACCGCCGGGCCCCCGCCGCGCCCGGGCAGGCACGCCCCCGCCCGCTCGCCCCGCCCCGCCCGCTCGCCCCGCCCTGCCCGCTCGCCCCGCCCTCAAGCCCGCCCATTTCCTGTCTCCGCCGAGGGCTGCAATCTCGGCTCCCGCCGGTCGCTGGCGGCCCCGCCCACTTCCGGTCTCGGTGAGCGGGTGGGCCACCGCGGTTCCCGCCAGCTGCGGGAGTCTTGGGGGCGTTTCTCCTCACGTCTGCTCCTTCGTGTCTCCACTTTCCTTCCTTCACCCTCCCCCGCACYTACTTTTAAGTCCTCTAAAACGTTGAGAGGCACTCCTTGGAGGGACTGGCCGGGCGCGCGGGAAACGTTTGGCGTGGTCCATGGCGGGTCCCCGCGGCCCCAGGGGCTTGGCCACGCCCCACCCTGAGCCCAGCCGCGGAGGCCACCCCCGTCCGTTGGGCGGCCCCGGCCGCGCGCCGGCCCTACCCATCCCGTGCCCCGCGAGTGGTTCCTCTCGGGTCCGCCCCACCCGGCCTGCCTCTCCGACGTCGCCGCCGGGACGCGCTCCCGGGCCAGGTCTGAAGCCGCCGCTTCGCTGCCCCCCACCCGGGATCGATGGAAGAGGCGCAGCGCCTGGTGAGTTCGCCACCCTGCACCCTCGGCCGGGGGCTCCGGGGACGCGCCCCGCCGGCCCTTCCTCAGCCTCCGCCCTCCGGGCCGCTCGGGTCGGGCTGGGACGGTGATCCGCGCCCCTCCCCGGGCGCGGCCGGTCCCCGGCGGAGATTCGGGTCTGCTCGCGGCGGACCCTCCCCGCTGAGGCGCAGGGCCAGGCTCCGGGGAGCTGGGGAGAGAGCTTTTTGCGTGACTTCTCAGTCTATGCCCAGACGGGGAGATTAAGTTTAGAACCGTGGGCGGGTCCCTGGCTGTCCTAACGGTCCCTGAGCGCGCAGTGTGGACGAGACAGCGGAGTAAGGTGGGAGAGCTGTGCGCCCGTCCGCGGTGCCTCCCTGGGTCGCCTCGGGCTTCCGCGGCTTTCCCAGCCGTCGGTGGCTTTCAGGTGGTGTCCCTTAGGATTTGGACCTTTTCATTTCCCGCCTTGCACCCTGGCTCTCTAAAAGAACGCGGTCCAGCGTTTCAGGTGACTTTGCACGTTACGTTTCAGGTGACTTTGGCACCTCTATCTTGTTTGCCCGTTAAGACACTGGTTCTCAAAGTGGCCACAGGTATTTTCATCCCCACACCGTGTGTGGTTTGCCTTTGGTAATATTCTCATTCTCTTAGAAGCCTACGGAGARTTTTCCAGAAGCCAGTGGGATCTGTCCTTGCCTAGGTGTGGGTTTGTTTTATGGAGCTTGGACCAGAGTTCTGCTCGGATTCCACCCAGGTCTCTTTCCACTCTAGAACGTATTTCGAAAAGTCTCAGATTTTCTCTTTGTTACCATGGCCCTTTGCTCACGTTGTTGAAGGAAAATATCAAAGGATTGTGGTGAGGAAGGTGTGTTATAAACTGATTCGTTGAGTAATCTTCACTATCAAATCATACTTGATCAGAAGAGAGCGCCTCAGTTAATATTGGATTTCTTGTCGATTTCCAGCGCTTAAGCTTGCTCTGAAGCTGTTTTCTAATTAAACKTTTTATTTTGAGATCATTGTAGATTCTCATCCAGTTGTAAGAAAGAATATAGTAATATCCCTCTCCCCTTTATGCAGTTTTCTCGATATTTGTCTAAATGTAGTACAACATGAATATTGACTGATACAGTGAAGATAGAGGCCCTTTCCCTCACCACAAGTTCTCTCAGATTGCTCTTTTATAATCACACCCACTTAGTTCCCTGTCCCATCTCCTCTTTAATCCCTCTTAATCAGTAATTTGTTACTCATTTCCATAAATTTTTATCTCAAAATTTATGTGATTACTGAGTCAGTAATCTTTTGGGATTGGATTTTTTTCACTCAGCAAAGTTYTCTGGAGATTCATCCAAGCTGTTGCAAGCATCAGAAGTTGTGAATGTACCACACTTTGTTTGAAGGCCATTAGCTTGTTTTCAGTTTGGGGCTATTATGCATAAAGCTGCTGTAAACATCCCTGTAATTTATAGTGTAATGTCATGTAAACATTAGGTTTTTTTGATTTGTTCTTTTTAAATTTACATAACAGTAGAGTGTATTTTGACATACATACACAGAGTATAATTTATTCTAATTAGGACCCCCTTCTTGTGGTTGTATTTGATGTGGAATTTCACTGGAGTATTCATATGTGAACATCAGGAGACTTATGTCCAATTCTTTCTACCATCTTTCCTATCCCTACCCTCCTTCCTCTCCTATCAGAGAGAACAGTCTACCTTTATTTTTTTGGGGATTGGCTTCAGTTCTCCCATGCTCATTTATGCAGTTGCTGAATTATGTGGTAATTGCGTCTTTAGTTTAATAAGAAACTACCAAACTGTTTCCTAATATGTTTGAACCATTCTTACCAGCAGTGTATGAGAGATCTACTTTCTTCACATCCTTGTCAACATTTAACGGTGTCCTCATTTTTAGCCATTCCAATAGGTATGTATGATGTTGTGGTTTTCAGGTGCATTTCTCTAATGTCTAATGATGTTGGACATAGATGGTATTTCCTTTTTTGGGTAATGCTTCATCTCTTTTTTGAATTTTCTAATTGAATGTTTGTGTTTTTTTTTTTTTTTTTTGGGCTATTGAAGGATTTTTTTAAAAAAATGTATCTTAGATACCAGTCCTTTTTCAGATATGTAGTTTGCAAATGCTTTCTCATTCTGTACTTTTGTCTTTTCCTCCTCTTAATAGGATCTTTTGCAAAACAAGGATTTTAAAAATTTTATGAGGTTCATTTTATTAAGTTTTCCTTTTATGGATTTGTGCTTTTTTGGTGTCAGTTTAAGAATTTTTTGCCTAATCCTAGATCCTGAAGATTTTCTCTTTTTTTTTCCCTTAAAAGTTTCATAGTTTACAATTTACATTTAATCCCATGATTGTCCATTTTGAGTTAATTTTTCTACAAGATGTTAGACTTTAGTCAAGAGCTTATTTGTGGTTTAGGGATGTCTAATTGCTTTGGTTGAAAAAGTTCTTATTCCTCTATTGAATGGCTGTGTTTTTGTCAAAAGCCAGTTGAACATATTTATGCTAGCTTATTTCTGGGTTCTATCAACACATATACCATTGATTCTCATAACATTGCAAGTCTTGTAACTTACTTGTAAAGTTGTAAGTCTTGTAACCTTGTAAGTAAGGGTAGACCCATTCCTCCTACTTTTTTAGGAGGAATGTTTCCCCCTTTTTTTCAAAAACTTTTTAAGCTAATTCTTTACCTTTCTTTAATTCTTGCCTTTCTTTGTAAGTTTTAGAATCATTTTGTGTATATCTAAAAAAATATCTTATTGGGATTTTGTTAAGAATTACATTATTATATCTGTATATCAGTTTACTGAGGATTGATATCTTTACTATATTGTCTTCTACCTTATAAACAGTATTTCTGGTCATTTCTTAATATTAGTTTGATTTCTTTCATTATGCAGTTAGCATACAGTCCTGCATGTTTTGTTAGAGTTATACTTTCATGCTTATGTATTTAATTTTTTAAGGAAATGTAAATGATAATTGCTTTTAAATTTCATCTTCATTGGTAACAGGAAATATAATTGTTTTTTGTATGTTTATCTTGTATCCTGTGACCTTGCTAAATTCATTTGTTCTAGGAGTTTGGATTCCTTGAGGTTTTCTATGTGGATAATCATGCCATTTGCAAATAGAGACAGTTTTATTTCTTCCTTTTTACCATTTCCTTCCAGCCTTATTGTGTTGGCTGGATTCTAGCCCTTTGTTACTACTGTTTTTTTTTTTAAGCATTCAAATCAGTAACAGTGGTGAAAGCAGAACAGTCTCCTTGTTGTTATTGTTGTTTCCTTCTTTTTGGGAAGAAAGCATTCAGTCATTTCATGATACCTATGAAGTTTGTTGTAGATGCCCTTTACTGACTTCATGAGGGATAATGGTCTATAGGTTTTATGTACTGTCAGTCAAGGTAATACTAGCTTCATGAAATGGGTTGAAAACTCTCCCTTGAAAGAGATTGTGTAGAATGGGTGTTAATTCTTTAAATGTTTGGTAGGATTCTTCAGTGAAACTGTCTGGGCCTGGAGATTTCTTTTTTGAGCGTTTTAATATTACAAATTCAAGTTTCTTTAATAGTTACAAGGCTATTCACTATTATTGGGAAAGTTGGGGCAGTCTGTGGTTTTTAAAGAACAGAATCATTCCTTCCAGTTTTCAGATTTACATAAGTAGAGTTGAACATAGTATTGCCTTAGTATCCTTTGTTGGCATCAGGTTCTGTAGTGCTATTCCCTGTTTGAGTCCAAATGTTGGTAATTTATGTCTTTTGTCTTTATCAGTTCTGATACCAGTTTGTCAATTTTATTGATCTTTTCAAAGAACTGGCTCCTTGTTTTATTTATTTRTTTTAATTTTTCTATCTTTAGTATAAGTAGTGATTTCTGAGATTATCTTTTTTTGGAAGTATTTTTCTTTTCTTTCTTTGCTTGGGGTTTATTTTGCTTCTTTTCTGGGTTTTTGAGGTTCTTAGATTATTTATTTGAGACTTTTACTATTCTGATGTATTCATTTAGTGGTATGATCTAGCTTTAGCCTTTCTAGAAATAAGACAACAAATGTGCTTTCTTCTTAGGCTGCTACTAGAATTGAAATGGTCTAAGATGTAATACTGTGTACATTGTAGGTTAAATAAGGCATTTGTGAACCTACTCAGGACTATTCTAAAACTAAGCAGGTTACTAAAATGAATTTTTGGAAAATACAACTTATTTGTATGATTATAGTTCATACTAGCTTTAAATGAATATAGACTTTTTGTAAAAGTTCGGTACTGAGGTAAATTTTAAAGGAAGAGATGGCCATAGATTAGTAGAGAGTAGCTGGCTAGATATTTTAGGCAGGAAGACTGTTTCAGATTCTGCTCGCACAGTCAACCTTAAAATAACATGAGAAGCTTTTCAGTTGTATTACAAATCTAAAAAATATGGCTTTAAAATTTTTTAACGTCTGTTTAAAAATTGAGGACTTTAGTCATTATTTTTGTCTTTTAGTTTAATTTTACCTTTTTAGTAGTCCAATAATCTTTGCAAATGTTAACATATTCAGCCTATTTTTTATGTATGAAATTGTCTTATTTCTTATTCAATTTTTTATGAAGTTGACTTTTATGGCTTTAACTATGTCTGCTCTGGTAACTGAATGTGACCAGATGCTGATGTTAAAGTTCAGTGTGGCAAGTAATTTACTTGTGTTATCACATTTTATAATTTTCATTCCTATTGAGTACTGTTAATCTCCCTCCTTCTCTCTCTCTTCCTCTGTCTCTCTGGATGAGAGTCGACTTTCTCAAATTTGGTTGAACAAAATCTCTCTTGTTTGGTTCTTGTTGTCATTGTACCTCCTTGCCCCAGGCCCTTACACATGGTGTTGCTGGTCACTTAGTGCTTCAGCATTTTGCATCTGTTGTCACCAGACGTAGTTCATTCTAACAACTTTTTAGAACCATACATTTATACTGATGTCATGTTAGCTCTTCTCTGTTGTGACATAAATCATTGAGATTCTTTCTAGGGACTCTCTGTTTGGTAGAAGATAGGCTTTTTCTTATATAGTAACAGAGATTCTATTGTATAGAAAATAATTATAATTTAGTTTCTGCATCACTCTGAGGGCCAAAAGAACCTAACACTGCTTTATAATTTGAACAGTTGAAGAAAGTATTTTAATTTTGTTTTGTATTTGCATATTTCCTGTATATTATATTGTTTATAAAAATTACATATATCAAGAGGACTTTAGTTATTATTTTAATTATTTAGTTTATCAGATTTTTTTTTAGCTACTGCTTTCCCATTTATTGATTAGTTTATCTTTTAATACAAAGATTCTGTTACTGTTATGGTTTGGATATAAGGTGCCCCCCCCAAGCTTCTGTTTATGCAGGAATATTCAAAGGTGAAATGCTTAGATTATGAAGGCTATAATCTTATCCGTGCATGCTAATTTTGAATGACCAGGTGTAACTGTAGGCAGGTGGGGTGTGGCTGGAAAAGATGGATCACTGGTGTGGGGGGGGTCTATCCTGGAAGGATACATCTTCTCTGTGGTCCCTTTCCCTACTCTCTTTTAACTCTGCCATTACCTGATCAGGTTTCCTCCACTGGGACCTTGCTACCTGGGGTGCTGTCTCATCTTGGGCCCAGAGAAATAGGATTGGCCAACTGTGGACTGAGATCTCAGAAACTGTGAACCCCAAATAATCTTTATGCTCTAAGTTGCCTTGTCCAATGTCCTGGTCACGGCAACTTAAAGGCCAAATAAAACATTACATTTCTATGAGTTAACTTTTTTTATTGAAGTATAATGTACATAGAGTAAAATCTAACTGTTTTAATATAAAGTCCAGTGAGGGTTTGTTTTTGGTTTTTGTTTGTTTGTTCTCTTTTGCTATGTCAGGGATCCAACTAGGGCTTGACACATGCCAGGTAAGTACTCTACTACTGAGCTACATCTCTAGCTCAGAATTTTGATGAGTGCATATGTTGATGTAACCACAGTTAGGCTACTAATTTCATCACCCTAGAAGTTTCCTTTGTAGTCAGTCTCTCTTGCCACTGTTCTCTGACAGCCACTGACCAGTTTCTCTGCCTCTCATTGTGTCATGTGTAGGTATTATTGTAGCCTTTGAGCTGACCTCTTTTTTAAATGTTATGCTTTTAAGATTAGTTCATGTTCTTGCACATTCCTTTTTGTTGCTGAGTAGTATTCCATTCTGTGAATGTGCCTATACTACAGTGGAGCTCACTTTTTCCACTTAGTGTTTGGGGCTGTTTCCTATTTGGGGCAATTATAAATGAAGCTACTATATGTATTCACTTGTACATTTTTATGTAAATGTTTTCATTTTTCTTGAGTAAGTATTTAGTTGTGGGACCCCTAAGTAGCAGCTAGTGTATGTTTAACTTAATAAGAAACTACCAAACTGTTTTCTAAAATGGTTATACCATTTTGCATTCCCACCAAATGAATGAGAGTTCTTGTTCCATTTCCTTGTCAGTACTTGATATTGTCAGGCTTTTTTCGTATGTATGGTGATATCTCATTGAGGTTTCAGCTTGTATTTTACACGTGACTGAAGATGTTGAACATTTTGTCATGTGTTTATTTGACATCTTTGGTGACATGCCTGTTCCAATCTTGGACTATTTTCTAATTATTATCAAGTTATGAGTTTTTTTAAAAATACATATTTTATTAAGTCCTTTATGAGACAAGTGAATTACAAGTGTTTTATGTTAATCCACTGATTAGTAAGCATAACTGAAAGCCAGGTGCGATGGTGCACTCCTGTTATCCCAGCGACTTGGGAGGCCGAGGCAGAAGAATCATCAAGTTCAAAGCCAGCTTCAGCAACATTGAGGCACTAAGCAATTCAGTGAGACCCTGTCTCTAAGTAAAATACAAAATAGGGC